TCCCCTGAGTCCTCCCCTGAGTCCTCCCCTGAGTCTTCCCCTGAGTCCTCCCCTGAGTCCTCCCCTGAGTCTTCCCCTGAGTCCTCCCCTGGCTGGAGGGAACAATCAAATGAATGGAATACAATGATCATATGTCAACCAAATGTCAGTCAACAGCTACCTGAGCACAACATGTATAGGCCTGGGGCTAAATAAGTTATTCTCCTTGGAATATGAACCCTTGTACAAGCTGTGTTGGCAAATATTCATTCTTGAATCAAACCTGGAAAGTAACCATTCCACAACAGTTCTTCTTCACTCATCAATGAGAGTACATGTTTTATTCTTGTTGTTTTTTCAAGAAAATGAAATGCCAAGGAGTTTTCCTATACCTGCTGGGGAGGAATTTAGCTACAGATCATCTAGATTCCAAAATGTGGCCAAAAAATGCTGGCATACAATTTTCAAGCCCACTGCACACTTGATTCAACTGATTGCCAAGAAGTTCCTTTATTAACTTTTTATTGCTTTTAGTTTGTTTCTACACTCATGTGTAGTTGCAGTTTCCCAACTATATTAGCAGTCTATCATAAAACATTTGGAGTTATGTAGGGATTACAGAGAGTTGCTTGCACTTTAACAATTCTCTCCAAAATAAGAGCCATTTAATAGCTTCTTGTAGGGTCCAGATTTTTATAGAAACCTAAAAGATCCAAGCTAGGGCCTTTCTACAAGGAGCTTCATGATCTCTGCAGAAATGTTGATGATTTTAAAAAGATCTTGACCATCTTTGAGACACTCCGAGTGTCTTGGTAAAGGTGTGTAGACTCTAAGTATGTTTAAGATGATCAAAAGATGACAGTCCTTAACAATTTTAGTTAGGGTATACATTCACCTTTCCATGCCAGTTTTAAAGGTTAATTAACAAAAAAGGGAATCAACAAGGCCTTCTCAGTACTTAAATGGACATTATTTTTATTTGAAGAACTGGTTATAAAATAATGCATAATTATCATTTTATATGCTATATGTTGTTTTTAACCCTTTTACTCCCAGAAGTGATTAACATGTAACCTCTCCCTATAATATCCATACACTAACCAGCAGACAGGTAATGAGAATACTCAAAATTATCTGGTAAATGTTGTTACCATGAGCTAACACCAAATTCTCCTAACTGATTTACAGGGAAACCTGTGGCAGCTAGAGGGGAGAATTCACAATCAGATTTTAGGAGTTAAAGGATTAATAAAATCCAAAAATTAAAAAAAAAAAAAAGATTAACACAAACAGCTGCAAGCTGGAGCACATTCCCTGGGGTCACAAACACAAAACTGTAAGGTAAGGTAAGTTAAACTTTATTTGATAAGTAGGTTGAGATTGTTTGGCAGCCAAAGGGCTGATGTGGACCTACTATACACAATCGAAATTTGACAAACACAAAAGATGTCAACAAAACAATAAAAGCTATGCACAGGGAGAAATCAATATATATATATATATGCAAAAAGCTGAGATTTACAAGAGCCTATATAATTGAAATAATAATATAATACCAGAAATTAAAATGCTTAAAAGTATATATGACCGATCCAATTACAGGAAACATAAAAAATTCCAGGTTTGTCAGCTTTGCTTGCAATGATCCTTAGCAGTGATTGGCACAATTGCTACGCATCATTGCTCATTTCCAAACATGTGATTGGTTCATTTTGTCCAAATGACTGTGGTAACAGGATTGGCAAAATTTAAAACAATCATTCAGCTCTTTTATGATGAAAAGACAAATACTTACAGTACAAATAAAATTTGAGGCTGTATTGGTAACTGTCACTGTAGCTGAAGAAGAAGATGCTCTAAGAGACTTCACAAACAAGGTCCACATCAGTGCATTGAACAAGAAAACCAGAAGAAATGAAGAAGCTCGGGCAAGATTAACAACCTGAAAAATAGTTGGATATTTTTTCAGATGACACTGTTCGTATAATTTTGACAAGTAGCACCCATAATACTCTTAGAACCTTCTGGGCTTAACCCTTTACAACTAAACATCAGTATGCATAATCCCTATACTGTTCTTCATACATTCCCTATGTGCTGACATGGAGAATTTGTTTAACAATCAAGGGCCTCTCAGTGTTTAGTTGTTGATTATTTCTTTAATCTTGTGACCTAACTGTTGGATCCAAGAGTGAAAGGAGAAGCTAGATAATAATTATATTCTCATAGGGGCTAGATGTCTATATTTTGTACATGGCCAAATCTCTTGGTTTTTGGGGTTCAAAATGATTGAAATTTTTGCTGTAAACTATTTTTCGCGATTTCCATGTCAAGAAGCAGAATATGTCCAAGGAAGGAAATGTCTCCTTTACAACTCGTATTCCTTGGATCAAGGATGATCCGAAAACTTAAAACCCGCACAATCTGAAAGACACATTTAAACAAAATGCTAGGCTGAAGTTAAGTTAATACTTTTCTTTCAGCCACAAGTGTGCATTGTAAAACACGAGGACATAAGCCAACCGTTTGACAGGCAGATGTGATCGTAGAACCATTCACAGCGCTAACACCCAAAAGTTGAAGTAAAAAATTGCACCAAAATTTTCTCTGAAGTTCTGGAGACATTGCTAGTTTGGCGCAAGTGGACGCCACAGCTGCGGAAAATCCAGCACAAACAGCAGAAACAAATCCTAACATCGCAAAAGATGATATTTCTGTAAGAAGTAGAAATCTACCAGGCATTTACTCTCCCACCGAGTAGGATTGGGTAAAAATGAAACCTCACCGAGAAAGAAACAGGGAGCTTGAAAGAGGATAGGATAACAATTACATTTTACTTTTACAGACTATTTTGATACTTCAAATTGTGACTCTATTTTAGCAATATTTGTTGTGAGACTGGTTGCTATGAATGAATTATAGCACTTCTGTTTATGCCTTCAACCTGAGGGGACAAAGGCAGAGGTCCAATGGAAACCCATTTCTTTGAAATAGGAGTTTCAAATGCTGATATATTGTTAAATTAACCTACTGTACAAATATAATCTGAATTACAATTTAGAAAACACAATATGTCTTTGTGATGCAGGAGGCATCAGAAATGGTGATCCTCGTGGCTTTGCTAATCATTTAGACAGTTATATTACCAATATCGAGAATCAATTGAAATTCACCCGTTAGCCATCCCCTCTATGTGCTAATGTGCACGTATATTGTATGTATTAGTTGGACCTATAATGATGAATAGAAATCACAGACAACACATCTGTGCATGAAGAAGATTTGATTTCTCCCCAGACAGTTCCCCAAGTCCATCAGAAATGGATGGCTACGAATTAAAGCAAACTGAAAAAAAAGACAGATTTGAAATTATATGTCCACTAGCTTGCAAAAATTTTGCAACAGGATCTAACTGATGGTGTTCTGGTTACTCAGGGTCCCATACACTCCACATCAATTAAGTCACTAGAGATAACTGATTGAGGGCAAATATCAACCCAATTTAAAATTCCAAAAATGTTCACCTCACAAAACACTCAAAGGTGATAACCTCATTGTCGCATCCCACCACATAAAATTACAATTCCTAAATCACTCATATAGGACAGGTATACTGGAAACCTTCAAAAAGGCCTTTATACTGCCCAAAAAGTGAGACTTCTAAAAAATGAGACAAACTATGATACACATTTGCAATCCAAGATAGCAGAAAACTACTTTTTAATGCTTAATGTTTTACATCACTGTTACTACAATGGAAAGGGCCTAGTTATTGCAACCACATTACATATAAAGTTAAGGTGTTATGAAGGGTGGCTGAAATATATCACACAACACAAAGCATCCTTTGATATGCTTTCTTATCAGTTATCAACTTTTGTTCAAAGATAATAATTTCTTTGCCTTAAATTGTGACAATGATTCTCCTATGGCTTAGGTCTGATTAAATTTCGACTGAATAGAAATTTGGAAACCAATAACCAGGGGCTTCATTGATGTTTTCGGCAGGAGGGCAACTGGTTTTCAGAGGCAGGCAAAACTCTTTGAACTGAACTTCTTTATAAGATAAACTTTACTCCAGACTGTCAAATCAGGTAGGCAAAACCGTCCTCACAACCGGTCAATTTGCCCGGTGCCTGGCCTTTAATGAAACCCCTGAATAACCAAAATTGAATGAGGATATTAACCAAAGATACACAGATGAAACAAGAGATAGCTTTCCATTTGAATAGATCATGTCTTAATGATTATTCTATTCAAAACAGAAGGATTGACACTGATGATGAATTTTTGACACACACACAAAAAGAACTTAACATTACATAGGAGTCCACAGGATAAAGCTGTACAAATTTCCAGTTCAATTAAATTCTTCATAGATTAATTGCCAGATATGAATTCCAATGACTTTTGCAAAATACACTGAAGTCCTCCAAAGTTCACCCTTCACCCATAGGGACCTCAAGTCTTTCACAACATTACATTTCTTGTTATGATATTATGATTTAAATTATTTCAACAGTCAAAAGAGACATAATACAGTATATATGCAATTAAGAACATTTCAAGGGCTAAGTTTCTGAAGAAACTGTGGTGCTGTGTCACTGAGGAGTATGACAAGATAATTTGCGTTTAGAACCTAAGTTGATAATGTAAATTGGCCAATATAATGAGGCCCTGATAGGCTAAATTCCGACAGGCAACATGGTGTTGAAACAACAACATCAGGGAAATGAAAATGCAACTTTGAGCACAACACTGATGACATTGCAACAGCGACATCAGAACTTTCTGAAATGGCAACATGACAAAGTTTGAAATTCAGATGGGTGACATCTATAACCCCCTTACAGGGCCTCTATAATGAGTTTCTATAGCTGATGTTTTGAGAGTTAGCCCTTTGTCAATGTGAAAGATGCTGAAATTCTTTTAGAAACACTTTATGGCCTCCAATTCACATTATCAACTCAGTTGATAAAACAAAATACCTTATACAACAGTGAGATTGTTTAAATTCAGCAGGGTTTGTATGTAAATGAAATTAAAATTTGGTTTTGAGAAATGACATACAAAAAAAAAAACAACATAGAATTTATGCAGAATTATATATTACTGATAAAAAAGGAGACTTAAGTAACTCTTATTATTGAAATAATGAAATATCAATAAAACTAGGCAATAGAAATCAAGTTGCGAGTGATATTTCAACTAGTTTATTAATATCCTTGTTAAGCCAATCTTGAGTGATGTCGTCAAGGTGATTGTCAAAGTCTATGAGACTCTGATAAGTTTTTGCTTCTATAAGTTCAGTGGTAAGTCCCAGTGAATCCTCACCACCATCAAGTACTCTGCAATGAGACAAATTCAACACAGTGTCATTATAGTGGAGCTTGCAGCGAAGCCCCATAATTAAACAAAATGGTAGTAGCAACCCATCAAGCCGAAAAAATTTGGACTTGTGACTGTATGGGCGTCCGTATAGGGGGTATGCCAACGCAGGCATGCCAATGCCACGGTTTTGTGCACTGGGCTCTGAGTCGGATAACCCGGGTTCGAATCCTGGCTGGGGCAAGGCATTTTTTTTTGTTTTTCTTTTTAATAAATTTATTTAAAGCATTTTCTTACGTTTACAAACAAAATAGAAATTAAGAAAACAAATAGGAAAATAATAAAAAAAGAGAAAAAGACATACACTCTTATATAGTACAAATAGAAGAATACTAAGCTAAAGTACACACACAAAGCTATTACAGCAAAACAGTTACCCAGTACATAAGGCAAGGTGTTGTGCCCTTGAGATGTGTGGGAAAAAAAAATGTGAGCTCCGCTTTTAGGCTTGACTAAATCTATATATTAATGTAATAACTCTCAAACCACTGACATCGTGTACAACAGTTAAGTACAGAATGTTAGGTTTAGGAAGTATTGACCTTTATTACACTGTTGCTTTAAAGCTAGCAGCCTTTCAATCATTTTTTTTTTCGGAGGACATTTGAAGTTGATACATTTAGGAAAAATATGAAAATGAAGATCATGGTGTTATTAATAAGAAGCATTCTTGTGATCACTGCAGAGTACATTTGAATCTGAGTTTTAGTTCTGAATATCAGTATTCAGAAGGACCAGTTTTAGTTTGGGTTACATCCAATGGCCAGTACACTGGACTCCAAATGAAAAGTTTGTATTTTCTCCTGGTTATGGTCATTGTGTTGCTTTGGGAGACACTTTATTTTCATAGTGCCTCTCTGCATTCATAAGTGTAAATCATTTATGGTGATTTGCTAGGGGACTGGACAGAACTGAGCAACTTGTGACTAGACAAAATTTGGTAACCTGTGATGGACTATTGTTGGAAACAGAAGGACCATTATCTCAGGAAACAAATAAGAAAGGAGCATAGAGGAAAATTAATTACAGTATCTGAAAGGCTTATTTGGCTGGGCTCAGCTATAGGGAACTGGGAGCCTATTTAGTCATGTTTCCCTACCAATTAGCATAATGTTACAGCAGTAACCTCTGCAATAGACTTATTGCCTTTAAACTTCCTGAAATCACAAGAGAAAGGGACTCTAATAATATAGTGAAAACAGCCAATTGAGTTGACTGATACTTACAAATCTTTGTCACTTTGTTTCCATTTATTGTCTTGGACCACATAACACTGCAGAGTGAAACAAAAAGAAAAAATAGTTTGGACACAAATCGCTGTGAACAAAAAGCAGAACATAGGGAACCAATAAAAATTTTCCTCACTCCCAAAATGTGTTTTTTGTAGCTCAATCAAGAGTAACACCAAAGTAGCATCCTGAAGATATTGTTTCAAGTCTGAATTCCTTTGCCATACTTTGCTTTTACTGATAGTGCAAGTTTGTTTTGCCTGCATGGATCAATCCATGCTGGTGGTTAGCAGATTCTACATGAACCATGCTATTGGTAACAACTTGAATGAGTGATTTGCTATGTTATACCAACAAGAAATAATATAATTCAACTAACATCAAACACAAATTTTAAAATTTCCTAAAAAAGGTTGTGCTTGTTCAAGGAATTCTGTAAATGTGGCAAAATTTACATTGGCGAGACTGGAAGGCCAATGGAAGACAGAATAAAAGAACACAACGGAGACATCTGACTAGCCCATACCCAGACCTCCCCCATTTCAGAGCATGCCCACAAAACCAGACACTGACCGCTTTGGAATGAGGTTTAATTTATTGATTGCGATCCTCACTGGTACACTCACAGGGGTCAAAGAGACTTTTCACATATTAAGACTTCACCCTAACAATATCAACAGGGACAGTGGAATAGAAATTCCTGAAGCATGGATGCCCATGATAAAACAACAACAACAGGAGAGTCACACCTATGTGGACTGCCAAGGGAAAAACTCACTAACATCGAGGATCAAAACACGCCAATCACAGCTGTGGAATACCAACCAATCACAGCTGAGCATCCTGCTTTATAAGAAGACCCGAACCCAGTCAACCTTATTGCCTGATGAATACTAGCAGTATGCAGTAGAAATGTTGCTATTCACATCATAACTGACCACATCTTGAGACAAACAATAATACTTTATTATTAAATTCTAAAATATATGGAATATCTTTACCTTACAAGCTATTTCATCACATGGTACTAACAGCTTTGTATTATCTACCTGTAAAATACAGAGAGAATTCAAACTTTCAGTGATTATAACAAACATTTTCTGACTCAAGAGTTAATTTTATTGAATAAATGTGTAACAAAAACAAATCAGTTGAACATAATAAAGAGGCAGCATGGCTGAGTGATTAGAGTAATGGCCTTGTAATCTCATGGCCCTTAGTTGAAGCTCCCAACCCCGCTACTTGCTTGATTTGCTCCTGGTTGGCTCAAGTTTAACTCCTTAACTGCACTTTGTACAAACTTGTAGCAAACTGGTCTGCCTGTTTACAGTTTGGATTTTTAAACACTGTGTTTGGAAGAGTGGCCATTAAATATACATACATACACATACACACATACATGAAGAAACTCAACTTACCATTAGCATAAAACCATTGTTAAAGTGATCACATATTTTCTCTCCAATTTTGTAGCATATTGCATTAGGACTGGGAGAAGATAATGGTAAAACTTACAATTATTGTGTGAACTCTCAGGAACAATATGTATAAACAACAACAGAATATGCATGGCTATAGTTGGCAACAATTGCTCTGAAACTCAAAAATGATAGGGTATTTGAAGGCAAAACTGGAATAAGTGTAATCTAGGGTATAGAAGGACGACTTGTATTTCCTTTTCATCCTCCAATATGAGATAATAAGTGTAGCTCCCATTGCGGACCTATGTTTACGTAAACATCCGGGCAATCGCCCATTGCGGACCTATGTTTACGTAAACATCCGGGCAATCGCCCATGTACTTTGAAAGGGAAAATCCTTGCGTTCACTTCAAAAAATGTTTTGTTGCCGTGTATTGTCATTGTTTGTAAACCCTAAGCTCGAACAGTCGGTGAGTTTTCATTTCAGTTGTTTATGTTGTAATTTCGTTTGTTTTAAGCATGTTTTCTGTTTGCAGAAAACCTCTCCTTTACTGGTTAGTCGAGTTTTCGACTCAAGCAAGTGTTTCTGTGAAATAAACAACAATAAGAATACCTTTTTTTTCACTCATTGTGGTCATCTCCATAAAGTTTTTTAAATCTCATTTCCTGAGTGACTAACTTTTATGGAAAGGCAAAAAAGATTCTTCATAAACTGTCTCACAATTTTTGCAAATAGAGTTGTTTTGAAAAAGGAGTTGGCTTGGAAAAAATTCTCACCTGTATAAAAACCTCTTCACCCCTACCCCACCCACCCTCTCTGTCAATGTTCTTTCTGTTTTTTTTTTTGTTTTTTTTGTTTGCACTTTGGTGAGGAGGAAAGCAATGAGAGTAAAAAAATTGTTATGGGGATTGCTTGATCACTGAAGCTCCAAATCTATTGTTTGACTGATTCTATCTCACCTGAACACTTCTGACAAAGCTGATCCTCAAAGTATGTACAAGTTGACAACCCTTTTCAAATGTGAAACCTATGACAATTTGAAATGTTTACAGGTAGATTTGTAACTCACCTGTTGTCATTAATATGTTCATTAGCTTGATAATAACCAACTATCTGTAAGCCATTCTCTTTACAGTGAATATCAACCTGTACAAGAGAAACAAGGATGATAAGATTTAGGGTTCTTGCACTTTTTCAAGAACCCAATTCAAGGACTTTCAAGGACTTTCTAAGTCATTTTCAAGGACCTTGGCTCTCAAATTCAAGGACCTTTTGAAATAAATAGGAGCTAATAGGACCAGCCGAGAAGTCTGACAAGTGTGACTTCAAGCATGTATATCAGAGTGATCACATGGCGTAGTGGTGAAAGTGCTCGCCTTCCACCAATGTGTCCCGGGTTTGATTCCCGGACCCAGCATCATAAGTGGATTGAGTTTGTTGGTTCTCTACTCTGCTCCAAGAGGTGTTTCTCTGGGTACTCCAGTTTTCCCCTCTCCTCAAAAACCATCATCATTTGAATTTATTTAATTTAGAGTTTATTTGGATTTACACAAGACCCCACAAGCTGTTCAGCTTTAAACATTGTTGTGTCTAAATAAAGGTGTTATTATTATTATTATTATTATTATTATTATTATCATTATTATCAAATGCTAGGCAACCCAGATTATTTTCAAAGCACTAATCAGGTATAAAATATAACAATCACATGTCCAACATCATAATTGAAAGTGGGATTTGTAAGGAAAACTTTTTTTCGTGATTTGTGTTAGAAACTTACACTTTCAACCCTCAAAACAAAAGAAAACTTAGACTTTGATTCATCTGCTCTTTTTTTCATAAACTTTTCAAACACATTCAAATTGAAAACTTCGACTTTGATTCATCTGCACTTTTTTTCATGGACTTTTCAAACAAATATCAAATTGTTCACATCTACCACACCAATACCAACTAAAGTGTTTTCGAGAAAAAAGGTCATTTTCCTAACAGATAAACATCGTTCTGATCCAAAATTAATTTTAAAATGTAAGAGTTTAAAAAGTTAAGTTCGATTTCTGCTGGAAAACCCAGAATGTAGATTGAACTGGTTTACAGTGAATCACAGTTCTCCCGTGTGTTCTTCACCTGCAATTAATCGTTAATCCAAACTTCGACCAGAAAAGTCAAAAGCTTGCAGTTTGCGAGAATGAAAAATTAAGTTCAGGTGCACATCAACTTGGCACCATGAACTCGGGGCACACGAACAACTTACAATCTGATAAACTGACTGCAAAACACCTTTAGAATATAAAACGAACTTCTGCTTACCCTTGCCAGGGCCACTTCTAGCATAGGTGCCAATCCAAGGGCAATATGAAACAAAGGAATAGCATCTAAGGCGTAAATTTCACCTTCTTTGAGATTTTCCTCGCCTACAAGAACTCCGTTGACGGCTTTGTGTGGGTATTTAGAGGTGTGTAAGAGGATTTTGGCGTATGCCCGTGGTGATACTTGAATCTTCATTTTTCTAATGGTGATCTTATGGCCTCAAAATCATGTCACAGTTCACAAACTATTCCTCTGCGATTAGCCGCCATGATGATTTAGGAGTGCGTGGTCCTTAGTAACCGCGTCGCTGTCCATCTTGGTCCCAGGTCTTCCCTTATACTAGAAAGAGTTTTTATCTTATATTATAGTAACTTTCATTTAGTGACAAAGAATAATGATAAAAATAAAAAATAGGTACTAAATGAGGGACTAACGTACGGACTCGAGTTATGGGAAACAGATGGATGAGTAGAGAAGTAAAATGGGGAGAAAATTAAATGGAAAAGTTTGGATAGGACCATTTCTCACTGGTATTATCTAATTCTTGGTACATAGTTAAGAGATTTTATCATTTAAGGGGCAAAATTACTGAATTGTGATTGGTCAAGACAGAGGGCATTTTTTCTTAAATTTTGTAATTGCCCCGGGCAAAATTACTTGAAAATGATTGGCTGAAAATCGCTTAGCAACGGCTGCCAAGGTAAAGAAATTTCTGTTTGTTTTGTAACAATGGCGTCCCGTTTTGCGTGAGATCAGTAAGAAAACATTTTGCCCCTTATATTATAAACAAGTAATCACATGGTTCCTCGTAAAATTAAGGATTAATATCACTTGTGTTTTCGGAAGTTGCAGAAATTGACCTCGTCGCTGCGCTACTTGGGCAATTTCAGCAACTTCCAAAAACACGTGTAATATTAATCCTTAATTTTACTTGGCCCCATGCGATTACCTATACAAATTTCTATCGTTACAGGAAGTGCAATGATGAAGACATTTTCAGCTTGTACATCGAGCTATGCGGTTTAATTAACCCTTTAACTCCTGAGTGACCAACACAGAATTTCTCCTTACATTATCGTAGTACAACTGTCTAAAGTGTCTGATGAAGGTGTTACCCACATACTTTCCAATGTTATGTGCTCTAAATAGTTGTCAATGCTCATAATTAGGTATGCTAATGTAGACTATATTTTAGACTTGTACTGCAGTTTGAATTAGAATGTACTTTGCTCATAATTTTTGAGTAAACATTGAAGTTTTGTTGGATACTACAATTATCAATACAATAATAAGCAGCCAAGTGATAAGAATAAAGAAAAATGTCAATTAGGGTATGATAAGTCACTCAAATACCAAATTCTCCAAACTCCCAACATAAGAACTGTATGACAGACAGTAAGGAGAGTTACCACTGAGATCTTGCGAAAGGGTTAACCTTAGAACAGCTCAAACTCACAAGTACCAACAAGTCAAACAAAGTGAATAGTGCTGTTTAACTTGGTTATAGACATTCTTTATTGTAGATACAACACAACATTAATATGTTCCTGGACAATCTTATTGCAATAGAGGAAGACGTAAACTTAAATGTAATGGCAAAAAAAATTGCCTCATTCTGAACTTAGACACTACTGTATATAGGAACCTTGACTTAATTCTGGAATAAAACAAATTGCCACCCATTAGATAGGTTACTTGATGACATGTGAGTTTCTTTACTCGACATTGTTGTCCATTCCTCTTTAGTATAATACACTAGGTTGATATTCAAAATTTAAAGAAGGAAACAATTCTTTAGTTGACAAATACATTCTTGTAGAAAATGAACTACAACAAGGAAGATGATATAAACTGATAAGAATGGACAGGAATTTCAAAAATAACAACAGTGCATTTAGTAAATGTCTCTTGCATATTAATATCAAACAGCTACCCCTCATTTTCACCAGCAGAACTTTCCATAATGTTCCATTACCAGCCTCTTGTTACTTGTTTTTTTGAAAAAGTGCAACAAGAAAAAAAGTTATCATTCTTAGTATGAATTCTCTAAACTTCCCTTCAGGTAGATTGTGCCATGAGAATTAACTAACTGATCTGATTACATACAATAAAAAATTCTGGAAATCAATACATGCTGAAATTTCAAACTAAAAATGTGCAAGAACTATGTGTAATTTTATGACTAATATTACGAACCGTTGCTCAATCGAGTCATTGAACAATAACTCTCATTTTGAAAAGAGATTTGAAAGGATATATTTAAGAGGAAAATCAAGAGAAGAAAACTAAAGAGGAGTGTCCTAACCTATGCTGATTGAGATTTTCAACTTCCCTCAAATGGAAAGCATGCTAAACCTTTCAAAATAATTCCAGTTTCCTCCCCCAATACAATTGCAAGAAATTCTCCCCCAAGGGTGGATGAGCACACCAAACAAAGATTAAACAAGAAGCTGGTAACAGAAATGATGTTTATGGAAGGCCAAACAGGTATAATTAAGAAATCCACCCAACTGCCTCTACAACTCTCCACCCTGCCTTACAAAAATTCCAAAGTTAACCATTCCACAACATTATTGGTGTCAGCCCTCTACTAGCAGTTGTACTCACTATCAATCAAGTTTACTCCTCTCCTTGAAACTGAAACAAGAGATTCAGTTTGAAAGGTTTTGTTTAAGATCCATAGTGAAAATAAATTGGATAAGTTTATTCAGAGACTTGTGTAACACTTCTTTAGCAGCAGCCACCACTGTCTTGGGATCGGCCACCTCCCAAAGGCACAGAGGGATTTGATGGTGAATGCTGAGGGCCAATCTTGATGCCATTTGCCTAAGAGATAAAAAAGGTCTTTGTTAGAGCCACCTATTACACTATACTAGAACTTGTTCTGGTATCATTAGCAAGCATTAACAAGGAGATTTACTTCTCCAACAACATGGATGCAAATCAATCACAGAAAAAAAACTGCATAGTAATTTATGCCCCTGACAGCTTGCCAGCCCCTATTTAGACTGACGGGAGAAGAATGTCACTGGGGGAGTCAAATATCAACACAATAACAACAAAATGACCCCACCAAGGCTTGACCCAGGCAGGACCTTTGGTCCTAAATCCAGGACACTGAATGGTTCTCTCAAGTGCCGTGAAAGTGCATTCCGTAAAAAAGAGGATTTTTTAGCCTACTGCTCAATTCAGCTTTCCGAGTTACATGTTCTTCAGAAGAACAACTATTTCCACTTGTACTGTCTCCTACAGTCTATAACTAAAGATGATCACAAGGCATTTTTAAGTTTTGCAGTACTGCTGGTCCCTATGCATGAGAAGCCACTCCATCACAGGTAACCTTCCC